TGCACATCAGATATAGACAACAGAGGCAAATGATAGTATATGCATAATACTGCATTACAACCAACACCAAACACCAGGCTACAGACAAATGCATAGACAACTGAGAAGATCAGGTGGGTGTCAGCGAACAGCAGTATCCCCTAGACAAGGATAGATTTAACTGAAGATAATTTTACATATGCATTTGTGCTACAAAACTAGCCACAAACATTGTAGAAGCAACAGAAGACAGAATTGGAGTAATCTCTCAGAGACAACCAAATAGAATCATCAGGCCTGCTGACTTGGGACCATAGTCTTGGGGGACACCAAGCTCAACTGGCACAACATAGTACATAAAAATCTTGTTCCACAACCTACTTTGATGAGTAGCAACTGGGATCTTAAAAGCTTTTGAGTGGCCAGCTAAGATGCAACTATTGGTCTCCTGTCATCTGAAGAAGAGTAAAGAAAATCAAAGACATCTGGAACAATTAGCTCAAGGATATGATGGATCCCAAGACCAGAAGAAATAGATGGTACCCAGCTGTCAATGCCAACCACTCGGAAAGGGATCAAACCTGGAGATTGTGGATAGAGTGGGAGGAAAAATGTGGAACAAAATCCAAAAACAAAAATGACTAGAATTACTGGTCAGAGAGTGTCTGATGGAACTGCCAAAAACATGGCCCTGAATTACTCTTCAGGCCTAGAACTGGACTCACTTCCATGGATTGGCTCTCAGCCCAAGAGTAGAAAGACCTACATGCAGAGTATCTACCCCAGAGTGATGCACCCCTTAGGACAATCGGCCATGGGGCACCAGAGGGGCAGCATTCACGTAGAGGGGAAGCTGGACAGACAGGAGGATACATGGAGGGGGTAGTTACAGGAACAGGAGGGGAGGAGAGAAGAGTTTGTTATGGTTGGGGATGGTAATAGGGGCGTGAAATCAAATGCACATGAACTGTTAAATGTGAAACAAATGTTGTTCTGTGCATTTGAATCCAAAGCACAACAAAATATAATAATAATAATAATAATAAAAGACAAAACAAGAGCCAGCTCTCTTGAGACTGATCACCAGGTAGCCTCAGATGTTACCAGTCTTGGGATTCTTTGGATGTGGGTTAACCCTGAAATCTTAAACTAGCCTGAGAGCCTATATTAACTCTGCCTGGGGACTTGGGGCCCTTTATTAAATTCCACTTGGAACACTGACTGTGGCCAGTGTGGGAGATAGTCAAGGAGAGGGAAGCATGGGCTCCAGGTCTCATCAATTATGGGACTTTGGAGAAGTTGCTTCTCTGAGTCTCAGTTTCCTAAGCACTCAAAATAGAGATGGTGATAACCCATGGGTCACCTACTTTATGTGGTTTATATGAAGTATTACTTTGAACACTTTAAGTCAACTGATTCAATATAGCATATTTTCTTCATAAGGGTTGTGGTGGTTACGTTTGTGTGTCAACTTGGCTGGGCCTGGTTGAGTGGCTGGGCAGCTGGATATAGTATTCCCTATGATAAGACTGGTAATCATCTTCATGGTGGAATTTACTGTGAGTAGCTGCCTTTGGGTATGTGGTCTGCTTCAGATATAAGAAACAGCTTTGGGAATGGTCTCTAGCTTACAGCATGCTTGAACCCTGCATGTAGCAGTGTTGTTGTTCAGCAGTCTGCCATGTTCTGCTGACCTTGGGACTTTCAGTGGACTTAAACTAATGGCCTTCTGTGTGGTTTGGTAACATCGGGACTGTGCCCTTTTACTTGTCAACCTTCGGTTTGTCAGTCTCAGCAGCCACCAGCTGCCTGAATGAAGAAAAGCCTCTAGCTCCAGTGTGCTGGGAACAGGAGGCAGAGCTGAAGCCCAAGGTTGACAGGCTTTCACCCAGCCCCTAGAGCCTGGCACTTTGAACTTGGACTTAAAGCCTCCAAACTGTGAGAGAATAAACTGTTTGTTAAGGCCATCCTATTTGTGGTATATTCTTATCAGAGTGGCACTAGGTAAAGAGAACAAGGGTATAGTTATCGCCCCCTTCTTCTTTATTATTATTTTTAACCTATCCCCGTGTATGTCCATGAGCAGTTAGGAGGACCTGCCCCCATGTGTTTGCTAGGGAGAACCTGCATTCTGGACCAGTCCAGGAAAGCATCCTGAACCCATACCCTATAGATCCTGACCACTATGAGGTGTTCCCAGAAGAGGCACAGGGTCAAACTCAAGGCACCTGGACAACAGATGTCCATCTCCCCTTAGTTGACTCAACTTACTGAATCCATTAACGTCCTGAGAGCTAGAGGAGAAGCCTTCATGATTGCGGTTGGTGCTCAGCTTGGTGGTGGGTTTGTCAGCCGAGGCCACGGGACCCATCTCTCTCTGGGCTCCACTCTGTGTCTCCTTCTGCTTCTTGGCCAGCTTCCTTTGGGACATGTGCAAGGGGAGAAATCACAGTCAGATGGTGCCAGCTGTATTAAAACATTGAGGAGATCAGATTGTTCTTCTTCCCCATCCCTCATCCCCAACCCCTAAATCTCATCTGTCCCCAGAAAAAGGGTCAAGTAGTGTCCTCCAACCACCAGCCACTCCTCGGAAGGAAGGTTGGGCAATCCTACTTCCGTAGTGATACTGCCTCAGAAACCCAAGGAGGGGTCGCTATGAGTCGGGGCCGACTCGACGGCAAATAACAAAAACAACAACAGTGTCCTCCAATGTTAAGGTGGTATAAAGATACATCCTCCTGAAACCATAGTTTCCATTGACTCAGAAACATGATACTCATCCGGCCTCATCCTTAGCAATGAGCATGCTCTATACATGAACTTAGAAGATGAAAATAGTGAGACTTGTATGATGCCTCCTTCACCATCCTAGGCTCATCTGTCTATTCTTGTGGCTCTGAATGAGATTAAAAATGAAGTTTGGCCTTTCTCGGCATAGACTAATCTCATTAAATGAACCCACCAAACAAGGAGAGACTGAAGCAGAGGCTAGTGGTTAGCAGTGGGTGAGGGTGGAGTGGAGTTAGTCTTAGAATTCAAAAGGAGAAAAATTAGTCTGAATTCAATGCAAAGCTCTTCCCATATAGATAAGGGAAACTCGGAACTAGAAGGACGTTTATAATAGTGTTCAACAATGGTTCTCAAACTTTGGAGAAAATGAGAATCACCCGGAGAGCTAAAACAGCATATCAAGGCCCAGGCTCATTGAAGTGAGATATACCTGGATTTCGGGTCTGACTAGATGGCACACAACAACAACAACCAAGTTCCCCAGATAATTCTGACACTGACCACAGGTCAATGAAAACCATTACCTTTAATATCAGGCAGACCTGGGTCCATATTGTGTCTCTGTCATCTGTTATTTGAACGACCTTGGGCAAGTTCCTTAACCTCTTTGAAGTATGAAGTCATCTGTACATTGTGGTAAATTAATAAGCCTAGCTCCACATGGCTGTGGATATTAAGTGAAATAATGGATGAAATACATGGACCACAGCTCCTAGTACAAAGTGAGCTTTCAACACATGGCAAGTACTAGACTTGCTTTTAAACCATCGCCTTCTTGTCCAACTTCATCCCAATGTCTGCATCACTTTTCCAATGGACCTACTTTCCCAGAGGGAAATGGGAGGCTTGACACCTCAGCAGGGAAATTAATGGTTAAAAAGTTCTTTGTATGGATTTGAAATCTACTTCTCTTACACTGTAACTGATTGATTATAGATCTATTGTTAGAGGCATAAAAATATGGCTAACTCCTTTTATACATGACAGCTAATGAAGTGTTTCTAAAAAGCCAACATGGTCCCTCTGAGTTTTCTCAACATTTATTCATATAAATATAATTGGTATACTTCTATTATGCAAAAGACTATTATGGACTATGCATTAAATATCTTGAAGGTAGATTCCTCTGAGTCTTTTGCTCCGTTCCTCAGAGGACATGACTTCAAATTCAATCTTGGTAACTTTTATCTGAATGTGGAAAGAACAGGTATCCCAGAGAGCTCAAATTCAATGTAATTTTTGGGAATAATTTTCCAAAGTTGACTCTACTTGATCATGGAATAGGTAGTTTCAAGAGGGGATGATCTCCCTGACAGAGAAGGTTTTCAAAAAAATGATGGGCATAGTCTCATCAGAAGCATTTTAGAGGAGTTCATCTAGGCTTATTTCACTTTGATAGTATCCACCAGGAGCCTTGGTTCCACAAAAGTTAAGCACTTAGCTGCTATCTGAAAGGGTGGCAGTTCGAACCCACCTGGCAGCTCTGTGGGAGAAAAACCTGGCCATCTGCTCCCATAAAGACTGTAGCCTAGAAAACCCCATAGGGCAGTTCTAACTCTGTCACATGGAGTTGCTATGAGTCAAAAATCACTTTGATGTCACCCAACAACAACTGCATGATATGGATGTGGACTGTACCGAAGAATGACAGACAGAACATTCAACTGAGGGCAGTTTGACCGGCTTATTTATAAAAGGACTACTGACAAAAGTGGAAAGAGTAAGGGAGAACCCAAGCCATAGCCCAGCGACAGAAGAGCTGTTTACCACTTTTGAGTCCAGAGGAAGAAGTTGAAGATGCAGTTCCTAGAACCCAAAAGGAGAGCATTGTGAAGAGGAGGTCGTCTGGAGAGAGTGGTGTTGTTTTCTTGAGGGACCCAGCCAGTCTTGGCAGAGTTCACGGGGAGGGAACCAAAGGTCTAAATGCCCTGACCCCAGTCCTCCTTCTCTGAACACCTGTAGAAGCCCAGAGGTAAAGGCTCCCCTGGAGTCCATCTCGATCATGCTCCAGACCCAGAGAGCAGAATGCAGAAGGGTGGACAGGAGGATCCGGAGGCACAGAACCTAGCTGAAGAAGGCAGGAGCTTCTACTTTCCTCACTTTGGACATAATACTTCTTCAAATGCAGCCTAATATGGCTTTAAATTTTATTTTTTAAAAATTGACCTGAGGAAAGAAGGACTCAGGGCTAGGAATGTATTTTTTCTTTATAATACTTTGGCCACAGGCATGGTGTTTAACTAGTAAAACTATTCCAGGCAGACAGAAAAACAACAAGAAATGAAGCACTGACTCAGCTGGGGCCTCTCTCCCTGTTGCAGGTAATCAGGGGCAGGGGAACGACGATGAAAGAAAAATGAGGAGTTCTGCTGCTGATGACATTTCAAAATTTTATTCTTCATTTATTATCAAAAAGGAAAGTGTTTAAAAATGTATATGTGACCTTCTTAATCATAAATTTGAAAAGATATACAGCAGATCCATTGCCTGTACCCAAGTTCACATTGCTCCAGCAGGAAATAAAAGGAAATCCGATAAGAGAGTTAACTTTACAACTATAAATGAGTATGGATGGGAGCCTTTGATATTTCCTTGGGGCCCAAACTACCAACCAATCTCATTCCTTTCAGGGTAAAATACTATGGAGAGGGTTGTCTTAGGCACAAATCATTGATTTCCTAAGGAATAATAATAATAAAAAGGCTTCACTTTATCTATGAAAAATAGCATCTCACAGATATGTTTGGGAAGCTCTGAACACCTGGATAAAAAGAAGAAATGAAAAATCGAGACTCTGCAAAACATGTAGATATTTAAAAATGGAAAAATAAACTGAATTGTAAGAAAACAGATATATGACACCCTTAGTATTTATCCCATGGTGGACATTTACGACTTGTTCATGGTGATGATGCCATATACTCATTTTAAAGTCTGTATCTGAGTGTTTTGAAAATAAGTAAACACAGCTACAGGGTGGAAGTCAAGTTGATGCAGAAGAAAAAAAATACAAAACTATGGGTTTGGGGTCTGTCTCTAATCTATCAGAGTTTAAAATTTAAATATTAAATATAACCCAATCAGTAATACAGGGGAAATGGATTTACATTCTTAAAACCAAAGAGTTTAAGGAATTTCCCTTTCTTTTTTTAAGAGAGGAGAAAATCCCAAGCTGGGAATAGGACCTAGAAGACTTTCAAATGATACCCCCAGGCTTCAGCTAAGCCTCATCTCCCACACACAGCTCTTCTTAGGAAACACTAACTCTCCCCCACCACCCTCATTACTCAATGTTTCTTACTGCACCTACTTTATTCTGCACTGGCCACCTCCTCTGCTTACTTCAAGGCTCAATTCCCATGTCACCTCTCCTTTGAAGCTACCCTCTCTTCCCCCAGACAGAACTGTAGTTCCCTCCTTTTGGTTGACTGGGGTATTGATGAAACATTGAGGATTCACAGGTACCAGTCTCCTGGATATGAAAAGACCATTGTGTGGAAACTGGACATGACCTCAATTCTTACAGAATACACAGAGTAAAACAAACAAGCACCAAATAGATAAATGCAGAAATAAATATACAAGCACAAACGTAATGAATAACAAGAAAGGAAATATCTGTTGCTATCAGGAAGACAATAGCTGTTTGAACCCAGTCAGGAGCTCAGGGAAGGCCTCAGTGACATGTTAGCTATGTCCACGTCTCGTCATATTGCAGCAATTCAACTCTCTCGCCCACGTGAGCAAGAGCCTCTTGGGAAAAGGGCTTTGACATTTTGCACCTACTTCAATTTCTTGCTGAGTGTATGGCACATAGTGGGGGATCGACAAATTTGTTGCAAATATTTAGATTTAAAAGCCATCCATTGGAAGTGTAAAAAGGATGCCCCTTCCATGTGACATTAAGCATTTGCCAAAGCTCAAAGACTGTACAATACAGAGAGTGAATACTAATGCACCAATATTTGTTCATCAATTTCAATAAATGTACCATAGGAATGCAAGATGCTAATAAGAGAAAAAGTATGTGGAGAAAGGAGTAAGTGGGAACTCTCTGTACTTTCCACACATTTTTTTTTTCTGTAAACTCAAAAATTCTCTAAAAACATTAAGTCTATTACAAAAAAGAATAATGCCCGCAATGCGGTAGCACACACAAATATTGTCATACTGCTCTGAGTGCAAATTATAATTATATTAAAAGAAGATACATGCAAAAAAAAAATCTGTATGAAATTAGCTTGTAACCTGGAATAGTTGTACCTATGAATATTTTTTGGCTAACAACTTAGCATGTCATTCTTGTACCCTTCACAGAGCTCTTAGAATGTTTGCCAAATAAATAGAATGTTCACAGAAGTCAGAGATTATTTTTTTGCAGAACACATAGCATAGCCAGAACTATGTAATTTTATAAAAAACAAAACAATAACAAAAAATATATATAATTCATAAAATACACCCACTCCTCACTTATTGACATGGTTAGGTTCTAAAGACCAGGTCGTTATGTGAAAATCAGTGTTATGTGAAAGTGGAGGACGATTACACCGTTATATAACTGCCATATTATATCATTACATGACTGCTAAACCACTGGGAATCATGGTTCAGCCAAGATGACACACAA